ACTCATCCCCCCCAGGAACAGCCTTTCCACTACCACATGCCTTCTTCCTAGAGTAGACAGAGGGTGATTAGCCCCAAATCACCCAGTTTGTTTCTGTGTATGGTTTGCTGAAGATATAATGGCTACTTCAGCCAACATGCCAAGACAAAGCCAGCTATAAAAAAAGTCAAAGCAATTCTCCAAACAAAACTATTTCTCATCCACTTGCATGCCCAGTGAGGAAGTTCAGGGAAGGTTTTGGTGTAGCTGTCATCTTTTTCAGGAGGTGGGAAGATGGCAGTTCTGAGTCTATTAACTGTTGGAAATCCCTTAAAATATGGTTTTGTCAGCAGGCTTGGTGATCCTACAGAAATAGGGAACTGCAAATGGCACTGTTATGTGTAGGATTTTGAATTAACTCTCCAAAGGCTTTGATTATATTTAAGGTTTTTAAATTGTTTTTACTGTGTAGTGGGTTTTGGAAGGCATTAACCAGATCGGGTTAATACAACAAGATTTATTGCAACAGAAAACAGAACTGACTTAACCATTATACTTGCTGCCTCTAGGCGGCGACCAATCAATTCAAACGGTGTTTTCCCATTCAAACTTGAACTTAACTTTTCCCTCCAAAACAGTTAGAGGTACGTTTAAACTAAAATACATTAACTCCTGATATCAATACATAACAGTTTTAATTCATTATAATGGTTTTGTCTGAATATTGTGTTTTGCCTAGTCACATGCATGAGATGGACAGCTTTATAAATGTACTAAATAAATAAATAAAAGATTCCTGCAGCACTCTTTCTCTCTCTTTTCTGGCTTGTCTTAGATCCATACAGGCTTCTCCGTATTGTGCTAGGATTCGTTGCTGTTTTTCTTCCTTTATATCTATGTGTTTTCTTTTAAACAAGGTCTTGGGGACTCTGTTTATGAAGGTAGTCAGAGTGATATCTATATACTATTAAAGCTCTCCAGTTTGTCTCTGTGAAAGTTTTAATTGGGAAAACAGTGCATTATAGGGCAATCATTTTTGTACCAAGATACCTGAAATGGGTTTACTTACGGTCCAAAATCCAGAATCCATGTCTTCTGTGGAATTGAAATTGTGCAAATTTTATAAAGTATTTTATAATATAAAATTATCTTAAGATATTTTAGAACATAATGCAACATGTCACAGAATATTTCCTTTGGTCAACTGCCGATCTTTGACCATGCTGTACAGTTCAACATGCCTATTTTCAAGGCTGAGACATCTCTGAATATCAGCCTGACTTTTTAACAACTTTTCTAGTGTAGATAGTACAATAGAAGCTCTGCTACTGTTGAAGGCATTGAGGAATCCGGTAAGGTGACATCTCTGAAACAATGACCCAATGGCTCTTGGGTTCCCTGGTCTTAATTGAAATGCTGACTAGGACAAGGGAGTTCTAGGTTCAAGTCCAACTTCAGTAGCAATACCTTATGTAACTTTGCTTTAATGGCTATCAATCAAATAACATTGAGTTTTTATTGTAATGCAATGTTGGAGGGGATATTTAAATCTTAGAGAAAACGTGAGATATAAATCTACCAAATAAATAAAATAAAGCCCTTATTTATTTATGTTGTCCTAAATTGGATTATCATTTTAATCTATGTTAATACAATATTGGGAGAGTTAAGAGAGAGATTTTATTAGATGGAATAAAACGAAACAAAGGATGATGACTATAAATAAGCCTGCAATTGATGTGGAAGGGAGGATATTAATGGAGATTTAATGACACTTTATCACTTACTCAGGTAAAAGTTAACATGCATTTATATATATATTTGCTTTTTTTCTGTGATCTTTTAGGAATTGAGAGACAACATAGATGCAGAATAATTACCGTATATTCCGGCGTATAGGGTGACCCGGCGTATAAGATGACCCCCAAGTTCGACGCCGGGTCGCAAGACGATCACGCCAAGTCGGAAGATGATCGCTGCCGAGTCGCATATAAGACGACTTTCTAGGCATGCGACTCGGCGTCGATCATCTTATACGCCGGAAATAACGTTATTTCCAGCGCATAAGATGATCGACGCCGAGTCACATGCCTAGAAAGTCGTCTTATACGCCGGAAATAACGTTATTTCCGGCGTATAAGACGACTTTTTAGGCATGCGACTTGGCATCGATTGTCTTATACGCCGGAAATAACGTTATTTCCGGCGCATAAGATGATCGACGCCGAGTCGCATGCCTAGAAAGTCGTCTTATACGCCAGAAACTACCTTATTTCCGGCGTATAAGACGACTCGGCGTATAAGACGACCCCCGAGTTCGGAGGCTGTTTCATCGCTCTCAAAAGTCGTCTTATACGCCAGAATATACGGTATGTAAAATGGATAAAAAGACTGAACGTGAAACACGAGTTCATCTGCCTGAAAAATCAGCAGTGCACATCATTTCAAATAGGACATTCATGGGAGTAAAAACATAAAATGACTATAAATGTTGAACCATAAAAATCACAAAGCATACCTTTTGCTTAAGAATTCAAATATAGTGGCATAATGCTTTTATCATAAGTGCTCTGTGTTACTGTAAGTAATGTCTATTCTTCAGAAGACATTGACATCTTTCTTGGGCTCTCCTGATAGGAGGACATTCCAGTCAATCTTCTTTAAGCATGTGTCTACCTGTCCTCACCTGAAACTTGAGTCAGCCAGAGGCTGAGGCACCCCAAGTATGGGCTTAGGTAATCTACTAGTAGAGTGTTTTTGTGGTTGCGCACGAGGAGTGCTTGTTTCGGGTTGTGGATAAGCAAAGATAGCAACAGTTAAGGGGAAGCAAAAACACATGGAAGATAAAGGCCTGGTAGAAGAGCTCCTCCTAGGGACATGGAAAATGGAGCAGCCACTTTCCCCCTCCAAGTTGAATTGTGCTGTCAACTTCTGTTATGTCCAGCTTCCAGTCAGCAAAGCAGGCATTTGTACCCCTGAAGCATTATCCGTGGACATTATTGTGTTACTCGCTGAAACCGTGCGATTCTCATAATACATTTTCCTATGTCACTCGTATTTAATTAAATGACTAAAGAACTGAAATCAGAAATAGCCCAAAATGTTAATGTTTATAAATATTGTACAACAAAGGAATATTTAGAAACTAATTTTTATGCATTTCATTTCTCCTTTCTATTTTGTCTGTTTGTGTGTGTTATCTGCATGTACAAGTTTTTAAAATGTGTAGAAAAAAGGATAATCTTGAATGTTGGGGAGTTTCTGAATGAGCAAGGAATAACTTGCTACTTTTTTGACCTTGATTTATCAAGAACACCTTTTCTCTCTATTATGTTTTCCAAAAGTAGCTGGCTGAAAGCTTGAGCAAGGGATTGGGATAGAAGACCTCTAAGGTCCCTTTTTTCTATTATTTGAATATCAGTCCAGGCATTCTGTGAAATGTAATACTATTATTTTAGTCTTTTTTGCTCCGTGAAAGAACTCAGGGCTCTGGAGGCATAATAAACACATCAATTCTTTAAGAAGTGAATAATATAATGCAAGGGACCAAAATTGTGCTGATCTTTTTTGGTACAGAATCAGAGCAAATAACTTTTAAACGGGTTAGATGAAGCCTTAAAAAAATCTTGACATCATACATTGTTTCCTTGTCTGACTTCAGTGCCATTTTGTTTGGGAAATATAAAGTATAATTCACAGTCTTCCCTGCCATTGGGGGAACGATGGCTTCTGATGATGCATCCCTTCATCATACCCTCAAAGAGGAGAAGACATGTGGATAATGTAGAAAAAGTGGAAGCTCAAGCGATTCTCCAGGTAGGCATAGTAAGAAGACCAAAATCAGTAAAGGCAGTAACTGTAGCAAAAGTTCCAGCCAGTCTGGAAGTGCTCAATTTCACTGTTCCAATGACTTTAGTGATAATGCTTCAAGAACGGCTGTCATGGCAGCAACAACAGCATTTGTTCAGAAGAGAACAACTCTGGAACTTCTCTAAACTTCTATTACCACAATTTTCCCTCAGATATGTCTGAAACCTCCACAAGCAAAGAGGGTGGCAGCTTCATTATTTCATTGTTCCAGCAGCCAGAAACTACAGAACAGAATTTACCAGAGAAGAAAAAGGGAAACCATCTCCATGCAAAAGGTAAGAAGGCCACCGGTCACACAGAACACACCTTTCCTGAAAAGGAAGCAGTTGTGCTATAACACTACTTTTGCGAGCTAGCCTGACACTTCTAGATTGTAGAAAGTATACTATATTTTTGAGAGTCACACAAATCTAGTTAAATAGTTTAAATAGTTAAACTGCATATGGTTGATTAATATATTAATGTTTTGCTTTGAACACTCTTGGTCAGTAATTCTACACTTTAAGTAATGGGGGTTGTGTTGATGGGTTCAATTCACCAGTTTTTGGTGACGGGAATAGTTCACCATTGTCATGGTCATACAGGTGTCAGTGTCACATGGTTTCAATAATTACACTAAGGGACAGGGAATGGGGTCCAAAAAAAGAAAAGGAGTGTGCAAATTTGAGTGGTCACTCTTACATTATTTTGAGTCCATTACTTTCAGTGTTTTGTCAGCATTTATATATGGTGTGAATGTTTGTGTGTGTGTGTGTGTGTGTGTGTGTGTGTGTGTGTGTGTGTGTGTATCAATCCATATGTCTAGGCAGTTTTGTACAGTGCTTAGGGTGCTGGCCTAACAATCCTGCTTTAGGCACGAATGACTAAGGAGTTCTAGGAGCTGAGGTCCATGCAACCTAAAGTTGTCTAAATACTGTTTTAGCATAGTACGTGAGTATAGCAGTTATAAAAGCTAATATTATGAGAGTTCAGATATAATTTTTCACAATAGATCGATCAATCAATAGTTGCATCAGAGATTGACTCAATAAAAATAAGAGAATCCATGAGGTAAATATCTGTTTGAGGATTTGGGTCTGAAGCTTAGGTAAAGTTATGAGATTCTTACTTTGCTCAATCTTATATGCCATCATGATATTTCTTTAATGTAGGAGGTAAAACATTGCCTAAAAAGAAACCTCAGCAGAAGACCACATTTATGACTGACCATAACATGGCTTGCCATCTATTGTCAGCAAGAGATCATGACATTAAAGAACTAAAAAATGAAGTTGCTGTTCTGCGGAATAAATTGGAGACATTTACTGTGGAATATAAAATCTTGAAGCATCTTCAGTCTCAACATTTAAGAGCAATCAGTAAATATGAAAATGCACAGATTAACCTGCCTGATCTTTTGGTCACGCAGTCTAATAAAGTGCTGACTCTGAGATCACTTCTCAGGACATCTCAGGAAGAAGCTGAGAGAGGTTCAGGCAGAACTCTTACAAAGAAGGGACGCCTTGCGGGTGTTGCAGAAATTTTCTGAAGACAATTAACATCATATACCCAAAAATTGGAAGCCAGTGATAAGAGAATCCAGGTAACGTGCAAGTTACATTGCTTAGAACAACGTAGCTGGGCTCTGGGAGAGCCCTATAAAGAAATGCTTTAAGCTGACTTGATTCAGTATGCAGTAGGGACCGTTCCCTACAGGCACCATCCTCAAGTCTCCAAGATTCCTTTGATATTGAAATTAACAGAAAACCTGCTCAAGGAGGAACATCAATTTTGCACATGCACTATTTGTATTCAGATTCTTAAATTGTTATCCAGCAATTAGAGACATAGATGTGCTGCATTTGGTTTCCCACTTCAATTCTTTGGGAGTTTCTTATTTGCTGGAAGAGATAATAATTTCAAATGTCATTGGTAGAATTGTGGCTCGTTGCACAGTCAGCCAGATGTCCAGACTGGATTTGAAAGTTTCATCCACCTATCCAGTCCTTCTCAAGGACATGGCAGAGGCGTTATTACTATGCTTCAGCACACAGTCAGTCAGACGTTAGACTGGATGTGGCTTTTTATCACCTACTAAGACCTTCTGAAGGGCCTGGGGTAGGCAAGTATGTGTGTTTGGTAGTGTTAAAGGTATTGTCACAGGATGGAACCTGTGCCAAGCAAAGCTGCCTTTGGCAACTGACTGAGGGTGATTTTGTCAGTGCCGATGGTATTTAAGTGGTGTCCTAGTTGTTTTGGGATGGCATCCAAGCCACCTATTAATTTTGCTCTCTTTTGCTACAATAATTCTAATTCTGTTTACTGGTCTTTCAATTTCGTTATTTTCTCCAATTCTTTCTCTGCTTTTCTGCTGTCTACAAGAATTGTCATATCCTCTTTCTGGACATCATCATTCTTATTCATTTGCCACCCAACTTATGGTTCAAGGTGACAGCTAGCTAAAGGAGCAACTTTGTCTTCATTTTTTCCTAGCAGCATATTACAGGTAATGGTCACCAACAGCATTCATATAAAAACCCTTTAGTTTTCTTAGTTGTGTTTTTCTTAAAAACTGGATGGAAAAGGGAACTTTTCCTATGGCTTACTTAAAATGCCCTGTTTGGAAAAATCTTACTGCAATTTAAAATTACACTATATCAGTGTCCTCTGACTTTTTGTTTGAAGTCTGTAATTAAATGCAGGTTTAAAAGCTTAAACACTAACTGGTATCTTCCGAAGAGAAAGTTACTTTTGGGATTGGAGAAAACTCCTGAGAAAACCATGGTCAGCCAAGAGAACAAATCAGTCAATCATCAAATAAACCAGCTCAGAGTTTTCACTCAAGGCACCAATGACCAGACTCAAATTATCCCACTTGGGACACATTATGGAAAGACCAAGCCCTCTGGAGAAGGTTCTAATGCAAGGAAACGTGGAAGGGAAAAGAACAGGGTGACCCACGGCAAAGTGGATGGACTCGGTTACTGGAGTGAAGAGTGCATCATTGAAGAGCTGAAGGACCAGATTACAGGCAGATAATGATGAGGTTGCTAAAAATCGACCAAAACTCCTTTCTTCTTCCAATTTTTCACCTTGCCAAATGAACACTTCTGAAAAAAAACTCAATTTTATGATCTTAGATTGTCCCAATAAACTTGTTCCCCTAACATGCATTTTACAATTCTTTCTATCATATATAAATTTATACCCTCCATCAATTTACCCAGACCAAATTTCATTGTACTCGGTGGAGCCTACACTAAAGTTGGCATGCATATCTTTACATACTTTTTTGGGCTTGGTTGATAGGATAGATATTTACCAAGGAAAATTATAATATTTATAAAATGCTCTTAAAAAGTGGGTTTAATTCTGTTTGCTTTTTGATTAAATCAGGAAAAAGGAGTTGTTTCATAGGCCAGGATTGAGGAGTATTACGCCCAGCAGAAAAACATAATTTATTGAATGACTGCAGTGAGGAGCGGGAAGGAAACTGGAGATGACAGAGTTATAAAAACGTCTCCTTAACGTCTGCCATCTTACCTTTTCCTTCCATTCAACTTTGCCTTACAAGTCCCATGATGCTCAGAGAAGAATTTCTCTAGTTGCCATGGTAGCAAAGATCTAAACATCAACTTCTCTGCCAACGAAGCCCAAGAACCGGGTAACGTGAATAAACGGACCACGGGTAGAAGTCTCTGCCTGGCATCGTAGGAGGGCAGTGTAAACCCTGGATGCTTAGTGGGCACTTTGATTTCTGTTCTCTGGGCAATCGAGGAGTGCTTGTTTCGGGTTGTGGGTAAGCAAAGATAGCAACAGTTAAAGGGAAGCAAAAACACGTGGAAGATAAAGGACTGGTAGAAGAGCTCCTGCTAGGGACATGAAAAATGGAGCAGCTACGTTTCCCCTCCAAGTTGAATTGTGCTCTCAACTTCTCTTATGTCCAGATTCCAGTCAGCAAAGTAGGCATTTGTACCACTGAGGCATTATCCGGACACATAATTGTGTGGCTTGCTGAAACTGTGCGATTCTCATAATATATTCTTCTGTGTCACCCATATTTAATTAAATGACTAAAGAACTGAAGTCAGAAATAGCCCAAAATGTTAATGTTTATAAATGTTGTACAACAAAGGAATATTTAGAAACTATTTTTATGCATTTCATTTCTCCTTTCTATTTTATCTGTTTGTGTGTGTTATCTGCATGTTTAAATAACGTACCATGAAGATTTTGGTACTTAGCCCTTAGACTCAGATTTTTTTCCATTTTATGTACCTTTTTTACACTTAATTTCTCATCCATGATAACTGAGCATTCACAATCTCTGCCTCAATTAGATTTTTTCTTTTCTCATTTCATTTGTTTGTTCACACTTTTGTTATTTCTTTCAAAGGAAGTGAAACTATTTTTTTGCTTCTTTAGTTTTTAATTTGGTTTTAAATATATATTTAAATATATGTTGGGCTCAGAACCATCTTTCCAACTGCTTTGTCATTTGTCTTTCTAAAAATTTCCTTGATCATATTTTCTTATTTACAGATGAATTTATTTCAGCAATGGGGACTAATCTTTTTTTCTTTTTCATTCTCTTCCTGCAAAAATCCTCAGACTATTTTTTTATTTTTAAAACTGCTATATTTATCCCCATTTTTGTTCCTACGTTTATTATCCAAGGTTATTTTTCAATACTAATTCTCTTTTCTGCCCCTCTCTTTTCCTTAAGCCAGTTGCATATATGATACATAAGTAACATACAACTTTTCTCTCCTTAATTTCTTCTAAAAATCAATTGGCTTACTCCAAGGTAAGTGGATAACAAGACAGGGAAACTAATCTCTGCAAATGATCTTGAGCTATAGGTAGCTTCCCAGACGCTTTTTTCCACTTCTTCAACAACATCTCCTCCCAAGTGAATGAAGTAAGAAAACCAGAGTCTTCATTTTTCATTTTTGTGGTGGGGGCCTGGGGACAAAATGAGTGTTATAAGCCGTGTAGGTCTTAAGAAACTATCCTTCAAACTAAAATTCCTCTTAGAAATAAGCCCTGCTCATTTCTGGAGTGCTTCTCTTGTTTGTCTGTTTATTCAGAATAGCTGTATGCAAAGGCTGTTTTTGCTCCCCGATCAAAAGAACTCAAACCCATCTGAAATAAGAGGTTTCAGGTAGGTAGGGATAACCAAAAGGC